AATGGATCTTACTTGAAAGCCCCTATCACAAAAAAACATGAATATGAAAACAAAACTTAATTTGAACTTTTTATTCAAGAGATATAAAAAGTTTAACAATTGAAAACAAAAGAAAAAACACGTGTGAGGGACTCGGTGCCCTCGCACCTGCGTGTCCCAAATCCTCTCACATTTTTTTTAGCAAGCTAACATATGCAATATTTTTTTAAATGCAATTGTTTAGAAGTTCTTTTTTCTTGCAAATAACTAAATGGAAGTTGCACCAGAATCACGTTCCTTCTGTTATAAGTTAGCAATTTTGGTTATGCACAACTAAAGTGAACACTACAACCCAAGCAATAATATAACATATTTACGGCTTAGCCACTTCTTGAAATAGGCCCGCACCCCACTTTATATATAAATCATAAATCACAATACACTTTCCATCATGTCTTCAAGAACTTTGTCGACACTCATGTTTGCAACTACCATCAACTTTCATGTACCCTCAAATTCTAGACATATGGTTTAACAACAAAGGTGATCAGCTTGATAATACAACATCACTGTAACTATATATGTCATTATTATTAATTTGGAAATCTATGGAACATTAGAACTTGCCCATCACCAATCACAACAATGCTAGGTGAGTTGGTGGATTAGCGCAAATGAATATCTCTCTGCTATGTTCGTCTCTGAACACCCCAAATGCCCCTGCCTCATTATTTTGGCTTTCGAATTTGAAACTTTTATATGTTTTAACAAAAAATTAATTTAAGTTTCATTTTCAGATTCATATTGCTTGTGACAAGGGCTTTCAAATAAGATCCATTATATATATGTTTTGATGACTTTTTGTAAAAAAAATGTTAATTTTCAATTATTGAAACTTAGTGCGAGTGAACGATAAAATCGCAAGCTTAAAAAACGCGAACATTGAAATCTGAATGTTAGTGCGAGCGAACAATAAAATTGACTTTTCAGAAACTTTGAACGTCATAACTGTAAGTTTTAGATACTTAGAACTTTTTTGAGTTGAGATACTTGAAAATTCGTGTGCCAAAACTTGGGGTCCATAAAATCGCCAGCGTGGCCGTCTTGTGGTGTCAAAAAAAGCGTGACCATCTTGCTAAAAAAATCAATGTGTGTGGTGGACGTCCGACCGACCACCATACGGACGAGGGGGTGCTGCCGTGCATGCGTCCAGCATTATGCACATGTGGGTACAGCTCGTAGACGCCTTCACTGCTACGTAGATGTCCGTCGTTTCTTACGTCCGTTATTTGCATTAAACAAGCCACAGTACACGTCCTGAAAATACACATGCGGCCTAACATCCGGAAGCGAAGGAACGACTCACGATTCCGTGAGTAGGCGAGCCCGTCCTCGCCCATGAATTTTCGGTGAATATGTAGCTATTTTAGCACGCACTTGATCCCCTGTTTTGAATGGATCTTGAAGACTTAATTATGAAGGATACTCTTTGCGTATTGCAGGGAAACTGCATATCCTGCAGATAAAGGGAATATTCAAGCACACTTGACTTGCAGTATGTACGTTTGATTTCGAGAGATTCAATCGCCAATAAGTGTATCATGTATGATGCATGACATCACTCGCGGAAAGAAATGAACATCATCGTGGAGCTCCCTTTCGCCTTTGTTTTCTCTAAAGGGCTGCGCATGCAATTTCGCCTCCCTAACTCGCCGTGACTACAACAGTATTCTATCTGCAAAAAGTAATTAACATGGAGGATCAGCAAGCACTGGAGTAACTTGGATTCCATCGTGGCCTACAACTTGTTGGTTTTCTAGCGAGTAGTACTGCCATGGGAAGCCCTCACTGGTTGAGGTAACTTTTGTTTCTAGCCGAGGCAATGTTAACTTTGTCCGGCAGTCGGCAGGTGCATGCATCATCTCATGTGATTGCTCCGGGGAGCTGGGGAGTGCTGTTTGTGGTTTGTGACCGTGTCCGTGCGCGTCACCTTCCTCGGTTGGGTCGAAAGTGATGCAAGTGCGTCACAGATTCTTCTGGTCTGATATTATCTCGGCCTCGGGTGACGAATGGTAAACCGGCGCCCAGGTGTCGAGTGATGACGGCGAAGGTACTCTATCGAACGGTGCTCCCAAGCCAAGCCGTCGGTAATATATGCCCTGTGGCTGATGGTGGCCCCCGGAACAACGATGTTTGTTCTAGGACTAGTAGTACATGAATGCATATTTTGTGGGGCTTATTGGAGTACTTTAACCTGGTCATTTTGTGGCATGGAATAATTTGGCACTAGGAGAATGCCGTCAACATCGTTAACATTCTTGTCAGTGTCACTTCTACCATGGACTGTGGCGGTTGAGTAAATTCACCGGAACGACATATAGGTAGATAAATCGATCTGAGGTACTGAATCTTCCTCTTGACTTGTATTCACTTTTACCATGAACTTGCCTTGCTCGTTTTGTCCTAGGAGCAAACTCTGGTGCTAGGTAAGGTAATTGACCTGCACCAGTAGAAACCAACGAAATGCCCTGCCAATGCCGTACAAAGATTTCGCAGCCTCTGGCATTAAGCTGCCGAATCCATTTATTTACTGCTTCCATTTGCTAGCGAAACTCATTTGGTAGCTTTACAGGTGCACCTTTTCCACACGCATCTATTTCCTCCGTTCGGAATTACTTGTTTCGGATATGGATGTATCTAGAACTAAAATACGTTATGAATGTATGTAGAACTAAAATACGTCTAGATATATGCATTTCTGCGACAAATAATTCTGAACGGAGGGAGTACGAGTAGCGACGGTCATCAAATCCCGCCCTGCATGCAGTACCGGATACCGTTCCGTTTCGGAGCCAAGAATGAATCCCGCTCCTTACCGGACCCAAGATTCTTTAAACGTCCGGAAGAGCCTCCCCTCCCACCCTCGCTCTCCCTATAAATACCCCGCCCTCCCACCTCCCATCCTTCATCTCCAACACACCCGAGCCAACAGAGGAACAAGAAAGAGCAGAGCATCACGTGGCCGTAGCGAGAGAGAGAGAGAGAGAGAGATCCAAGTGCCTACAAGGCTAGCACCTAGCACACCACCGCAGGTCCGCAGCACCAACAGCACGCATGGCGCGCTGGGCCATTGCCATCCACGGCGGCGCGGGCGTGGACCCCAACCTGCCGGAGCACAGGCAGGAGGAAGCCAAGCGGGTGCTGGCGCGGTGCCTGCAGGTCGGCGTCGACCTGCTGCGCGCCGGCGCCGCGGCGCTGGACGTCGTGGAGGCCGTGGTGCGCGAGCTGGAGACGGACCCCTGCTTCAACTCGGGCCGGGGTTCCGCGCTCACCCGCGCCGGCACCGTCGAGATGGAGGCCAGCATCATGGACGGCCACGGCCGCCGCTGCGGCGCCGTCTCGGGGGTCTCGACGGTCCGCAACCCCGTCTCCCTCGCCCGGCGCGTCATGGACAAGTCGCCCCACTCCTACCTCGCCTTCGACGGCGCCGAGGATTTCGCACGCGAGCAGGTAATTAATCCTAAGATTACCCTCGGTTAATTCTGGTTGCTACCAAAAAAATGCACCCCACTCAAGAAGGAATGCATAAACTGCCTGCATGGCGATCTAATCAACATATATCAGGACGGTAATTAACATTTTTAAATTGAAAGTTCACGTGACGGAACGGACGGAGTAGTATGGCATGCAGCCGCACTTTCTCGAGACACGTGTGGATGACGTGTGGGGCACTGTGGTGCGGTACACCATGAGTGCACATCTGCATGCAGCTAATTTGCACGGGAAATACCGTTCCTTCCAGACACGGATTTTCATTTAGGTAAACATGGCATACATACATGTAGCTTATCTGAGCTAGCTTTTCGTGCATGTATGTATGTATGGGGCACTGGGGTTAAGATACAGCTTGCTCAGCACAGCAAGTTAAGAAAATGCACGTGCGTGTATCCCTTTCGTCCCCTGCTCTGTGGAGAAATGTGTGGACCAAGTAGCACTGCGAGTTGATTTCACATCCAGCTCAAAGCAACACCAACGTAACCTGTCTGTCTACGGCTTGCTATTGGTAGTCATGTGCACCGATTAGTAGGTACTCCTTCCGTTCCAAATTACTTGTCGCAGCTATGGATGTATCTAGATGTATTTTACTTTTATATACATACATTTCTGCGATGAGTAATTTAAAACGGAGGGGCTACTATAGAGGGAGTACATGATATCATGATGCAAATAGATGAACTTTTCATTTTGAGTAAGAATCAAAGGGATAAGAAAACATGTGAAAAGCGAAGGGAAAAAACATGGGTCTCGTGGTGGCACCAGCCGCCTCGCACCTACCAAAACCATGCATCTACGCACCTTCACGATATCTCCATGCCTCTCCAACTTAAATTTGTCCTCTGCTATTAAAATTCTACTAAGCCTTAAAGTTTTCAGTCAAGATCGTGCATAGCAGCCGCACAAAGGAATCCATCTTGTCGCATGCAGGAAAGAAAATGGGCCGATGCATGTGCATGATTTTCTTTGTCGTGGCCGGCACATTTTTTAGTTAAATTATTCAAAACGAACAGTTAGCTAATCAAATCAAGCAGTGGCGGCCAATAGGAATCTCGTGACAGATCCATGAACCTAGGATGGCTACTGTAAGCCTCTGTTTTTGGCGCCAAAACTTGTGCACGGCATCGCCTACTCCCTGCGCACCACTCGTGCCGTGTGGTGGGCAGCCGTGGCATGGATTCCTTGCCGGATCTCGTGCCGACCCGCCGGGACCAGGCCACTTGCTCCCCGTCCGACGAATCCGTCGTCCGTACATGGTCCACCACCCCCGACCATCAAGTGACAGCAACTGGATCTGATTCCATGATTCCTACAGAATCCCGCGCGTTTTCCCTGCAGATCTCGTGGCCCTGCACTGTGCCGCAAAATTAAAACGAATCTGCGATCTTTATATGCATCCAGGGTTAATCGGGATTAAACACAGATTGATTTTTCAATGCGTTGATCTGATTTTGATGTGTTTGCAGGGCCTTGAGGTTGTGGACAACAGCTACTTCATCACGGAGGAGAACATCGGCATGCTCAAGCTCGCCAAGGAGGCCAACACCATCCTCTTCGACTACCGCATCCCGCTCGCCGGAGCCGACACTTGCAGCGCGCTGGCGGCCGCGTCAGAGAAGAACAACAGCAACGGCATGGTGATGAACGGGCTGCCCATCAGCATCTACGCGCCGGAGACGGTGGGCTGCGCGGTGGTGGACTCCAACGGCTTCACGGCGGCCGCCACCTCGACCGGTGGTCTGATGAACAAGATGACGGGTCGCATCGGCGACTCGCCGCTCATCGGCGCCGGCACCTACGCGTGTGGGCACTGCGCCGTGTCGTGCACCGGCGAGGGCGAGGCCATCATCCGCTCCACGCTGGCGCGGGACGTGGCCGCCGTCATGGAGTACAAGGGGCTGCCTCTGCAGGAGGCCGTAGACTTCTGCGTCAAGGAGCGGCTCGACGAGGGTTTCGCGGGGCTCATCGCCGTGTCCGGCACCGGCGAGGTCGCCTACGGGTTCAACTGTACCGGCATGTTCCGGGGCTGCGCCACCGAGGACGGCTTCATGGAGGTCGGCATCTGGGAGTGAGCAAGCAAGTGCGTGGAGTCGCGGTGGCCGCTCTGAACGTTCGTGTGTCTGCATCTGGCCATCCTGCGATTGCCATGTGGTTCTAGTCTGGGATCCTGATTTAGTAGCAGTAGTAGTGGATCGAGGATTGGGGATTGGAGGAATAATGATGATGATGACGATTGTGGCAGCCGTGGAAAATAATAATGTGAAAAGTTCTATGGCTTCTGAAATTACCTGTCTTGTTCAGTTCTCACTCTTCCTGAACCCTTCTTCAGTCTAGAACGTGTGTTACACGCAGTCTGGAGTAGTGGCTTGAAACAGATCCATTTTTCAATCATCTTTCTAATATAAAAACAATTTAAAACAAAACAGTGAATTCTAAGCATGATATTCTTCTTTTGCTCTGTAGCAAACGAACGAGAGTGAGACTACTTCTTTTCAGTGAGAGCTTGGCCGAACTTTATGTGCTAGCAAATTAACTTTCCGGCCTGTGTAGTCCCGCAAAAAAAAACTTTCCGGCCTGAGTACTACTCTTCATATGAAGAAACAAGGCTTAGTGGGCCCACCGTTTGCCCATCACCCAAGAAAATGATACTCCCTCGGTATCATAATGTAGTGTATATATTATTTATTTTTGCGGATGTGGTGTATATAGATTTTTTTAAAATTCAAACTTAGCGAACTTTAGCCAAGTTTATGAAAAAATTTATCTATATCTGCGATATTAAACATATACAGTATGAACATTCAACTCACGATATCTGATGATATGCATTTGGTTTTGTAGGTGTAAATATTTTTCTTTCTAAACCTGGTCAAAATTTGACTTTAAGAAAGAAAAAAACTATAAGCACTACATTATGAAACGGAGGGGTAAGACATCGGTTTCCTCTCTATTTTTTGGCGATAAAAGATTATGGTTTTCTCGTTTTAAAAAAAGTGCAACAAAAACTGTCCATATATTTTATTTTATGGATTAATTAAACAAAACATCAATCTTGATGCAGGAACAATACAAGGATTAACTTTGGATGGGTACTTAAAACCCTTCAATGACAAGCATAGTGTCCATCGATGACTAAACGTTAGTGAGATGGGAAAAAATACACCGACAGACAACATGTGCATTAGTGATAGTGGCATCTAACAGGAAAAACAGTATCGACCATACCGGCATCAATGTGGGATCTTGCCGAACATGATGTTAGTCATCGGAGACAAACGATGACAACACTACCCATAGTGAGCTAGACCATTCCGGGGGTTTTCCCATATGTTTATCGTTCTTTTGTTATTTCTTCTGTGTTTTTTTTCTCATTTTCGTTTTTTTGGGTATTCTCTTTCCTTTTATGTTTAATTTTTTCTTTCAGTTTTATTTTTCAAATACAAAAAAAATCATGAAACAAATTTTGAATTCAAGCACATTTTGAAAATCGCAAAACATTTCAAATTTGTGAACAATTCAAAAAAGTTATGATCATTTTCCGAAATTCCTAAACATTATTTTTAAACTCGTGAGCATTGTTTCGAATGTCATGGACATTTTTTAAACCGGTGAACTTTTTTTTTGAAGTCATGAATTTTTTCCAGCTCAAGGACATTTTTTTATAATTAGTAAAACCTTTCGAAACTCGTGAACAATATTTGAACTCATGAAGATTTATAAATTCATGAACATTTTTTCTATTCACGAACCTTTGTGGAAATTCATGAAAATTTAATGAGTTCACGGGATTTTTGAATCAACAAATATTTTTTGAATGGACGAATATGTTTTGAATTTATGAACTTTTTTAAGATCATATATATTTTTAAACCATGCACATTTTTCAATTTGAAACATTTTTTGAATTCATGAATATATTTAGAATTCGCGGGATTTTTTTAAATTAGTGATAGATTTTGAATTCTTCGACTTTTTCTGAATGGATGAACTTTTTTTGAATTTGTAATCACTTTTCAAAAATTTGAACATTATTTGAAATTCATGAACCTTTTTATTTAATTCTTGAACATTCTATGAATTTAATTTGAAAAGAAAAGGAACAGTAGAAAAAAAGAATACGTGCAGTGCTCGCTCGTGCATTGGCGGGCCCACTTAGCTGCAGCGCTGGCGTGTGCGGTTGCTTCATTTCCACCGCATAGGTCGCCAAATAGGAGGTCCCCAACTTTTTAGGTATTCAATCACCCTATAAAAACAGCCTAACTGAACAATGATCCGGTGCTTCCTATACCCATTAAGCGTTAAAATACTGGAGATTCACATGGAGGATGCGAAGCAAGGTGCTCGATTGGCCGGCCCATTTTAGTTAGTGCATGCACTTATGATTCCGGTTTTAAGAATAATTATTTACTGCTTTTTACCGGTATTGGAAAGCTTCCAGATGGTTATGGCATGCTTTAAATTTTTTGTTTGTATTTTACTGGTTTTTTTTGTTTTGTTCAGTATTTAAAATATCTAAAAAATATTCAGTTTTTCTAAAAAAATATTTGCTTTTTTAGGCTTGTAAAAAAAATCATGTTTTTATACGAACTTGTGAATTTTAAAAAATGTTTAGAATTCCAAAACATTCATGCTTATGTACACATTTCATAAAAATGTTTGGCTTTTCAAAGAATGTTGACAATTATAAAAAATGTTCGTGTTTTCAAAATTGCTCATGTTTTTAAAACAATTATAATTTTCAAAATAATATTATCATCTTATGTGATCACAATTTAAAAAAATTATTGCATTTTGAGGAAAAAGTTGGAATTTCAAAAAGTGTTCAAAATACTAAAAACCATATTTTCCAAAATTGTTTGAAATTTCAAAAGAAATCATGTTTTCATAGAATATTCATTTTTTAAAAAGAAGTCCACTTCTTTCAAAAAATGTTATAAAAATTATTCCTTTTTAAATAAGTTTTTCATGGTTTTTTCAGTAAAATGGAATGGAAACATAAAGGCGCTAGAACCGTCCTCCCAACAGTAGGCATGCTCGATAGATGGGCCGACTGGTCGAGTTGGGGCACTCTACGCAAAACTGCGCCAATTCGACATAGAGAGCGTCGCATTATAATGCCCACTGATCCAGTCGTAGAAATAACACTTTGCAAGATGAAAACTAATACATGAAGGGATTAACCAAAGTCCACTGCCAACACATATGTTCATTACTCACTTTATATCATAACTACGTGAAGTTCACACGTCGAGTGGAAACGAGGTGAGACCGACAGCCCAAACATCGCAGATAAAGAGATGGATTCAGCCTCCAGCGGGGCAAGCCAATATCAATGTTGATGCATCGATATCTCATGGAGTAGGCACAACAACAGTTTGCAGAGACCATCTGGGTGTCTACCTGGGATCTTCGGCTTTTATCATCAGAGGTATGGTGGATCCGACAAGTTTAGAGGCGATTGCATGTCGTGAGGCATTGTCTTTGGCCGAGGACTTGGGGCTTCAAAATCTCTCTATTACGTCCGACTGTGAGATGATAGTGAAGCACATAAGAGAAGATAGTGAAGCACATAAGAGAATCATCAGGAGGAAACTACGGTAGTGTGATCAAAGAGATTAGCTCTTGGAGAAACATCTTTACTTCTTATACTCCCTCCGGTCCTTTTTTACTTAGCATATAAGAATTATCTGAAGTCAAACTTTGTAAAGTTTGACCATATCTTTCCTACTTATAAAGGTTGGAGTTGGCGATAAGTTCACATGTGGGACCATCAACCTTAAACAAGAAACAAATGCACCAATACCCAGATGTGAGACCAACTAGCTTCATCAATAAAGAGAAGCACCTCTACCATGTGTGAGACAGACAACATTTACCAATAAACAAATGCAGTGCTACCCACATGGGGCCAACAACCTTCCAAAACATAAATAAATATACCCTACTCATATGTTGGTCCTACCACAAATAAACAACTACATTATTACTTTTATGTGAGATCAACACTTAAAAAAAGAACACATAATAAATGTAGAAATGCAACTTCAACTCAAAATAATGCTTTAGTTTTTAGTTTCTTCCTAACCAATTTCTCTCAGTTCTAGTATATCATAGAATTACGGGAGTGAACAAATTGCAATTCCAAAGTGAAGATAGCCATTGTTCTATGTTTCAACATTCAAAATATTGTGATCGCTTAAGATTCGCCAATAGCCGCCATATGAGTTTTCCTAGTATTTTTGTTCTTTTTTAATAAACTGCGTACAAAGGCGACATGAGAGAATATTTTGATGACTTCCTAAGCGAGTGACTGAACTTCTCGTATCGTAGCAACCCACGGACATTGTGCTAGTTTATATGAAAATATCAACATCTACACTACTAAAGTTATATAATATGAAAATTAAATTCATGACACATCTAATGATATTGATTTCGTATTGTGAATGTTAATATTTTTCAACAAAGTTGGTCAACATTTGTGAAGTTTGACTTCAGACAAGTCTTATGTGCAGAGTAAAAAGGGTCGGAGGGAGTATTTTTACTTACGAGTCCACGAGCTTGAACTATGAGTCTCATAACCTAGCTAAGCATGCACTTTATTTGAATCAGGGATGCCATCTTTGGATGGATCATCCACATGATCCCAATGTAATACCTATATCTATTCCACTTGATGAATAAAACTTGGTAGGTTTTCCTAAAAAAAGGAAAAAGAATTTGCACTCAGCATTAAATTTTGATGGGCGTTTAAACACCTCCGTCATGTCCATCCGTCGGTGACTAAACCGTAGTGAAGACAAAAAACACCACCAAGCATCGTGCTCTTTCGTGATAGCAACATCAAGCAAAGGCGGAGACAAACAATGTCAACACTACCTGCCGTGAGGCGAAACCGCTAGAGTAGCCCCGCAGGCCGACAAGCACAGCAACACTGTCGCACTGAAAGATGCATAGGCAGAGTTTCTCGATGGAGTCGGTAGATGAAGCAGATCAGATGTGTCCCTCAATAGAGAACCAGGCCAGAAGACGTTATTTGTCGCGGTCATAACGAAAATGCGCTTTGGGCCGA